AGTTACATTTACACCTAACATTCGGATCATCCCTTGATCCCAATAGTGTAAAGTGATACCAAACATATGAAGATAATCTAGTAGATTTCCGTTTACCTAATGTTGACAGTGCACGTGGAGGAAGACCTGCTTGCAAATCTGTGTTGTGTGATGGAGCTTCTGTGCTCTGTACTTCACATTCATCCGTATCTACCAACATATTCCACAAACATTACAAAAATACCAAATTAGATATATTTAATTGGAATTTGGAAGTATTAACGCAATATGAGAAAAGTAATAATATTGCACCTGTGGCTGTGGCTATGTCTGTGTTTGTGTCCATGACTGAGGTAGAGGAAATCCTGTGTTGATGGAAAATTAGGAGTTTTGAAAGCCTGCAGGTCCAATGTGTTTGCAGTCTGCCAAAATTTACACAAGGAAATATTTAAAATCTTATTAGAAATTCAATTCAATTTACAAAGAATCCGTCACACTCTAATTCCATATCAAACAATAAAATTAATATCAAATATTCGATGAAAAACTAAGAATTCGAAACATAGAATATGCACCCAAGCACCAAATGAAGTTTGAGATGCTAATTTCTTCAAGTCACTGCAATACACTAAACGATGAAGCTGCATAGAGTGTTTATGTAAACATTGATTTATAATAATAATAGTAACAACAATCAATTAAGAAAAACGGGCAGGGGCGTAGAACGAGGGCAGGGACGACTGACGAGAAGACGAAGAAGAATGACGAGAAGATGAAAAACAAGAACGATGCAGGGGCTAAGACGATCAATAACATTCAGCAATCAATAACAATAAATAATTCGTACACAACTCAATAGGCTATAAAATCAAATCGTAGAACATGTAAAAAATAAATCAAGCAAAACAAATAAACAATGTTATTGAAGAGAGGATTAACTTGCCATACCTTTGGTGGGAAAGAGAGAAGAGGAAGCCGACGGCGACGATGGGCGATGGGCGAGTCGCAACTGCTATTGATTTTGAAGAGGGGGGGAATTAGGGTTGAGTCATGGAATGAATCGGGTGAAATCGCGACTGCTGTTGATTTTGAATGGAATGGAGTTTGGGTTGTGTGTTGAAGAAGAAGGAGGAGATTTGGTTTTGGGCTGTGTGTAAGTTGGGCCTCCTGTGTTGAAGAAGAGGGATTTGGATTTGGGAATTGTTGGACCTTTTTTTTCTTTGGCGGGTCGGGTTGGGTGGTTTTTTTTTTGGTTTTGTGGGTTAACCCACAACCTGACACAACCCGACCCGCTCCTCTTTTCCAGAAACCGAACCCACCAAAAAAATGGAAAAAAATCGACCTAACTCGGTCAGGTTGGTTCGGATCGGTCGGGTTCGTCGGGTACGGTCGGTTTTTGCCCACCCCTAGTGGTGGCTAAATAAGCACTTTTTGTCTTGTCATACTTCAATCTTTCCTTTTCTTGGATACAGTTTGAGATGAGCTCATTAAGGGACCATGAGTCCTTTTGACAATTGTA